CACTCACACTCGGCCGCAGCCTCGGCGTCCTCCCCAGAGCCGTCCTCGGGACCAGCCGCGCCGGCTGCTGGCTCTGCCGGGAGAGCCGACGTGTCCGCGCGAGGCCGCCGGCGATGCTCATTAATCAGCGGAGCCTCCGGCTCGTACCACGCGCTTGGTGATACCTACATACGCGCCCCGCGCGCCCGGCTCCTCTTGCACAATCGCTGGCTCTGCGGTTCCAAGGGGGAGCGAGGGGGAGAGGAAGCGAAGGGAAACAACCCAGAAACTTTCATCTTGGACTGTGCTCAAGCGAGGGAGGGAAGTTCCCTGGTGCCTCCCTCCCAGACACGTCTTGCTTTTCAAAAGCCTTCACCAAACCCACACAAAGCTAGAGTTAGTATGATAGTATCCTCCGCACAGCACGAAAGTATTCCTGATAGATATGCCGGGATTTTAAGTAGCTGGAGGTTGTTAGAAAATTGATATTGCTCCACTCATTAAAAAAAAAATGCTGCAACTGCTCTCTTTTTTTTAAAAAAAATTTTTGTTTTGTTTGTAAGAGTTGATGAGAACTAAATACTTTGAGTTAATTCAATTTTACAAGTCTGGGTAACAAAGAGAAGAAAACAGTTTGCTAGGCTAGAGACCACTGCAAGTTTAGAAATGCATCTGCAAAAGATAGTGCGAAGATCCAGGGCTTTGTAGCGTTTAGCTAGCAAATAGTTGTATCACACAGTTCTAGATAGGATAAATGCATTTGAATAAGGTGTGTTTTGACATATCCTGTAGAGGGACCCTGATTACTGCTGATACAGTAAGTTGGGATTTAAATGCAATCAACATAAACCCAATAAGCAACTCTGTATGTGCAATTTCCCATTCTTGCAAGTTAAAAAGTTCATTTCCTCCCAGAGATATTCCTTGCCGTTGCAGAGTGCTTGAAGAGGTGTGTTTTTGAGGCACAGCCCTGCCTGGGTGGCTCTCTTCGTGGTTGGAACACTGAGTGTGTTTTCACTGAGCTTAGGACCAAGTAACTTGTGCTGCTCTTTAAAAATTAGATGTCACCTTCAGGGTTTCCTTGAGTTAGTGGAGGTCGTGTGTGTGTGTGTGTGTGTGTGTGTGTGTGTGTGTGTTGAAAGGGAAGATTGGTTTCCGTCTCCCTCTAGCTAGAAAAGAGTTAATAAAACCAGATAGAGATAATGATCAATTGATAAATGGCTATTGAACCACATAGATGGTGTTAGATTGCTTCTTTGGCACTAGCCCATTTCCAAGTAGATTTGAATCTAAGGAGTCTTTAAGTCATGGAAAACATTTTAGCTAAAAAAAAAAAGGTAAATTATAGAAATGATGGCTCAAAATTAGGAAAATAATTTGCAATCATGGAGAGAGAAAAACTTAAACAGCCAAGCTAGCATGATGTTTTTGATCCAGCTGCTTCACTCTGTGGGTATATAAAAATCCATTTTGTGTGTACCTGCGTACATATATGTGTCAAAGTGAGCATCAGTGAATACATGAAAAGAGTAGAAACACAGGAAAGTAATTTATACATGATAGATGCTGTATAAAACTATATAATATTAATTATACTATTTACTAAACAGTAATACAATGGAGGGAGAAAAATCATGATTGAAAAAGTGTTGTGATTTCACTGTATTTTCTGTGTTCTCTTTATTTTTTGATTTTGTTGTAGTTGTCAACTTATCCCCCCCCCCTTTTTTTTCCTGTCATACTTACTAAATGCTTACCTCCTTTGCATTTTTGGAAAGCATGTAAAAGGGTATGAGTTTACATGTTTTTTTTCCCTCCTTCAAGATAGATGACATTTAAGCTTATATAAATATTGTGTAAACTTAAATTCAAACTGTGTAAATCTAAAAATATATGGGCTGTACATGTTAAGATGTTTATTTTCCTGACCTATAGTTCATCAGCAATGCTGATGCAGTGTGTGTGAATGTGCGTGCGCGCGTGCGCCCGCGCACAAGTGCACGAAAGACACTTCTTGAAATGGTATCTCTTGAAGCCAATAGTTTCAAGCTATACTAGTTTCAATATTGACATTAAGCCACCTTTTGTCTTACTACGGGTGAAAGTTTGCCCAGTTTAATCACGTATGCAGAATTTTGTATTTCTAATGCATAGAGATTTTTTCCATATTATGATTATTTTAATTTCTAAGACAAAATTGACTTAGCTCATGAAATGAATAAATTTATTGAATTTTTGTATTTCAAAGTTTTCTGCAATAAGTTAAAATCTGTAAGATTTGTCTGGTCGTTTCTTTAAATATTAGAAAGGGCTAGTAGTTTTCAAAACTGAGTTACAGAGAATTCATCAGTATTATTTAACTGCAGCAAAACTTACAGTGGGAAATAGCTCATGCATACTGAAATTTCATATTCCTGCTTTGTGTCTTCTACAGGTAATTTAAGAAGTAGGGATATAAAAATCTTTGTCTTTTGTTTTGTATGAGCAAAGTTAAGTTTGCTTATGTCTAAGTCTTTCAGTCTGTCTAATTCTAACAAAAAGATACCACAATCCGAGGCCAATTTAGATTTAATGGAAATAAGTCTGTTCCTCTCAAGTTCGGGACCTGACAGTTTGACTACATTTTTCTGCCTCTCTCCACTTTTCTCCCATATTTGAGTGTTTTTTTTTTCAAAAGGGATAATATTTTTCATATACAAAAATATTTGATAACCTTAAAGGATATGATTCTTGACTTTTGTGAAAGGAGTTCTTCTTGGGGTCACTTTGATCAGCGACAGGTCGAGAATAACCAGAAACCCTTTGCTCATCTTCTCTGTTAATCTCCTAGAGTCCTAGAATATTATTTTACCCATTTTAACCTCATTATTAAAAGCAGAAAACAAGGCCTGTTTTTGGAAGTTTTGTGTTTTTAAATCAGGTTTTAAATGGTGATTTTTCTATGTTTGTAAATATTTTGCGCATGTGAGGGCATAGCAGATTCTTTGTAGCTCCCTCAAGGGATGCAATAGTCTAATATATTTTGAAAGAAATGAAACCATCACAGGTAAAAGGCTCTAGCCCACGCTTTGCACAGTAGTAGAGGCATTTACCTTTTATTATTAGTGAGGTATATTTAACCTGTTTCAAATAAAATGTGGATCCCTTAATAAGGTCTCTTTTCAGACACGAGTGAAATACTAAGTTAGAATTATAAATGACTCTTTGCATCATTATGTAGTAATTTAGGATTCACCCAATGATGTAACAAAATTAACAACATAATTTCATTGTGAAACTGTGTCTTGTTAAAGAACAACTGTCTGACATTCTCCTACAGTTGCTTTATTTAACTTCATGCAAATATTATTAGTAGTGACATTTTTCTATTGTGCATTAGATTCTCTCATTAGCATGATGTGTTAGTTATCACCAGAGAAATCATTTCCTAGATAGGTGAGGGGCAAACCAAGAAAGCTAAAAATTAAATCAATGATTTACATTAATACCAGAGCGTCTGCTCACCAGAGATAGGACAGAGTAAAGCAAACTTTCTCACTAATATAAAATCTAGCACATTTCAGAGAAATGATAAATAAAATATATTGTCAGAAACATAAAATAACATTGCTGGAATCCATTTAAAAGCATGCTTGATACGAATTTTTCTCCCAGTAGTCTTTTAGTTCTTTCTCTTCATATAGGCAAGCACAGTTTCCGTTGGTTGAATCTATATTTTAAAGTGGAAACGGTGGTTTTGTCTGACTTCCTACCTGCACCCCCCCCCAGCACACTAAATAATTTGAATGAATGTTTATTCACTAACAATTTAAAAGGCACACGGGCAGTTTTTCTTACAAGTCAGATGCCTAATTGTATATTGTGGTTTGATTCTTCTTTCTAGTTCGTACATTTTTATTCTAAACTCTCTCCCACTCGTGTAGCTGGCCCTTTTAACATAGGGATGTACATTCTTATTTAACCAGAGCCCTGAGTAAAGCAGTTGATAGTTAATGGTCTTTGAAAATGACTTTCATTGCCAGCCATCAGCCATCCCTTGGTTTCTGTACTTTTCCCTCCTCCCTTTTGACTCCCCCTTTTTACAGTTGGTGTAGTTTAGTCATCATGTCTTACTAAAAAAGGATTAAATTGAACAAACTTACCGTCTTGAAGCTAAAGTAAATATTTATATTATATTAGGAAGCATGTAATTTCAGCCTGTTCAATCACTAGGCTGCCACCTCCAATTTTGTTCCCCTGTTTAATTTGAGTGATAATATGTTT